CAGCACGTTAATTGCATTATGTCAAAACAATACAACTGCGGCGCATGTTTATAAAGCATGTATTGGACTGTTGGCCCCACCTGTGAGTTCCAACTCAGTGGCGTTGTCCTATTTCAATAGTAAGAAATTAAAAATTCATACTAGCTAATTATTTCAAGCGATTGTGAAAAGCGGAAGCGGTAATTCGGCACACAATAAGCGGAACTATATGTTCCAGCTTGAACTTTAAACAAACTTGCATACCTTGGTTCAACTCGGCAGCCGCATTAATTAAACACTTTCGCCGTTTGTGGGTGTTAAAATGGGTGAGACCGATTTATTATAAATTTAGCCAGCCCAGCCCTAAAATCGACTTGCCCATTCCAGCTCAGACAGAAGGACCTCAGAATTCTATAAACTCTTTTACACAACGAGTAAATTTTTATTCGCCGAATAAGTAAGGTTTTTAAAACATCTTGAAGAAGAAGTAGATGCCGTCGTCCTTTATGTTACATAAATGCAATATATCAGCACGGAAACTTTAATACATATGAATTACACGAAACGCTAAAAACAGAAGAAGAAAATAAGAGCCCATCTGACATGAGGAGTACCTTGACCTGTACCAGAGAAGTGGGGGTGTTTTCCTTTCAATTTGAACTGAACGGTAAACAGCTAACGACGAGGTGAACCGCAATTTGCTGAAGCATACGTTTTTTACTGTATGTAAATTTTTGGCTTTTGCCATTCATACGCTGTAAATGTTTCCTTCGTGTTAACTACTTATCTGTTGGATGTTTCGCCAAATTTATCGTTTGTTGCCTTTGCAATTTGTTACAGTCATTACCCACTTCTGGGTGTTTCTCTTGTTTTGTTTTTGTAACTGCGGGATACACCATGACATTCACAGGCACGAGATGGGAGGCGATACAAGCTTCAATAGCTGGAAAAGATGCGCCTCGGTCAAGGCGAACTTTAAATCATCATTTTGATGGGCGTATACTCTCGATGATTTTTCGAAAGACGAAGTTTTGTAGTCGCACAAATAAAACAAATCGCCCTGGAACTGTTTCAGAAGCATCGAACAACATATAGATCAGTTTCGTATTCGTGGCGCATTTCAAGCTTTGTTTTCCGAAGTTTTCATTCCCATTTCTAATCCGATAAAGCATCCAATACCGCTCTAGCTAGATTTTAGCCAAAGCTTTTCAAATTCCCAATCCTTGATACCGTCCACTCGCTAGTATAAACCAAACTTGATTGCCAGTGCCTACACGAATGGTTGCAGTTGCAGCAAGCAAAAGTGATCGATTTTAAAATGGGTGTGGCTGGAAGCGGGCCTTGCACCACAATGCGGCGTTGGTGCTGGCTTTGCAGTTGCTACCACAAGCGAAACGATCACAGTTACTAACACACACAGAGAAGCTAGCATGAATGCCTTGGTAGTGAGTACCGCGTTGCCTGTCTGACGGTTATGTAACATTTTCAGTTTGACCTACTTTCAAACTGTTTTCTTGATCTTTTTGTTTGCCTATGCTGGCCAACATTCACTTTCGAGCAACTCGAATGCAAATGTAACTAAGACCCGGAATGTGGTCGAGGCGCAACTCCCTAGAACAGTCCATTTGTATTTCAAGTTTTTAAACTGTTTTTTACATTTGAGATCTCTAGTAGACCAGGAGGAATTACACAGCACTAGAAATCGGGAGCGACAACACAATTTTTAATATTATTTGAAAGTTTGCTGCCAATTAACATTTTGAAAAGTTGCCAGTTGATAAAATCGTGTGCCACAAGTGTCATATTGCCAGTCATAACGAGTGCACAGACTGGCCGGCCTGCTGCGCTTACTCTAAACTCTGTTGCGTGCCTCGAAAGTCAAGTTGTTTGAGTATATAGCTGATGACTTGGTACAGGTGGCCAATCAATAAAGCAGCCCAACAACAATCTTTTTGATATGCTTCTGTTTAGACATCAGTTAACTATTGGTTAGACTTTTAAATGTAGGAACACAAATCGCAGGATATAAAAATAAAATATCAAATATAAAAATAAGCTGGATAACCAAAAAATAACAATATCCGAAAATAAAGGCATGTGTCCATTTAAAACTGTTAGGACAAGACGGTTAAAGGCAATCCACTGTGTAGACTTCGCAGCAAGCGAGTCTGCTCTGATGAGAGTATGTAACTCCGCCGACAAAGCATTTTGCTTGGTCCGCGAATTGGTGCATTCTCCCCCAAAAAAAAGTTGGGAGAAAAATCGAACCACTGCACAGACAGCTGAAAGTACATTGTCGAATGTACAAGTATGTGTGCCAATAAAAAGCCAGTCGATAGGCTTGTTGCATAATAGCCAAAAACGCTTATGGCCGCAGCTCCACTTAGTATTTGAATGTGGCCCACGGCTATGAAAAGGAAAGCAACCGGGCCCGACACAAGAGGCAAGAGTAAATGCTGCATATTTCCTGTATTGTGGTACTTATGAAAATATGTACTCTGCTGTCGAATGCTGCTCATGGTGATTATTTAATTTTTTTCCAAGCACCCCAGATCTGCCATGCTTATAAATGCAAAAACCAAAATTTGTTAATTCCAAAGACATGAAGAGATGCTGTCGAAAAAGATGAAATGAATTATTTTTATTTAACTTAGAACCAAATCTACCGAAAGCTACTGTTTTCTGATGGTTTATGTAAAGTCGAATAAATATTTAGCTTGAGGGGCCAGATGAAAAAAGATATAAAAAAATGTAGAAGAAATTTTGGAATGCAATACAAAATGGGTCATTCGCCTTTACCATCACCTATTTAGCGTTAGGCCCCTTTCCATGACTTTTTAATTGAAAATGAAAACGAACAAATACCCACCAGTTGGGCAGGCAGCCGGTATTTTATATTTCCGTATTGCGGGTGTGCTGCGCGTGCGTTTAATTGCGGACCGCACCCAACGAATCAAAAGACTTAGGCAACAAACTTACCGAGGGCCCTCCTTTGGTCAGCTACTTTTAATTAAAAGTTCAAACGCGAAAAAGAAATTGAGCTATCATTTAAGGTAGACAAACTGGCAGCGACTTTATTACTGGGTGCAAAACAACTTTTGTTGGACAAGGCACTTTTCACTTTAATTTAAATAAGAAAGAAATTGTGCTTGCGGAGTTTTTAAAAGTTTTAGAAGCATTATAATTGATACATACAAGACAACTTACGTAAGAGTTTTTACGACATTATTATATTTGCCCTAACAAGCTCTATTTATCCATTGACCACATTGTGGTCAAAAAGCTAATTACGATCGACATAAATCAGATCTCGAGGCTACATCCGACGCTGCCAAACGAGGTGGCAATTAGTGCAATGGTTCGCGCCATTTGTCTAAATTTGGCAATGCTATTGGCGGTTGCCAATTTTATGGCCGGTGGCCGTGTTGAAATGCCACCTCACCAAACCAACTTACGACTTCACTACTTTTTGGCCAAATCCAGCATGGATATCATCACCCATCGGTAAATGTGGCGACAACAATAAAAGCAAGGAACGCTATAGTCGGGTGCCTTGACTAATAGATACCCGTTACTCTGATAATCAATTTCAAAACAATTATGCTAGCGCCCATAATGCTGCGCATAATGCTGCGCATTTTACTTTACGATTAACGGGTATAAAAATGGTCTTTTGCATAAATTTACACCTTGGTCGGAAACGCCTGTGATACACAGTTTCTTTTTCTAGACTCACACTCTTTAAATTAAATCTAGCATCACCTGATGTCACCCAAGACACCCATAAATATTCAACGTTTAGAGATACGACATTTTAATTTGTTTTCAATGCTCAAAATCCCTCGATCGACCGCAATCAAATAAATTTATAATAAAATACCTCACGCTGATCTTCAGTCAGTGTTTGAAGCCCGATGCATATTCATCTATAATGTTTGGAGCAACCAGAGGCTTGATAAAGTGCCATTAGGGCCATTTTTATTGCGGCTTACGACTGGCTTGAAAGTCAAGTTTGTCATTTTATGGAACAAATTTATTGGACAAGCTGGACAGTCCTTCTGAATTGAGATGGGAGATCCTAAACTGGGGCTGAGTTATTCGCTCCACTCATTGAGCAACAAGTGGAAATGAAATATATTGCAACGCAAACGTCAATCGTCAAACAAAACCAAACAGATCTATTGTCGAATTACTGAATGTTGCATAACAACAGCAAAGTCAATCCTCAGTCATAACATCGATTTTAGCTTTAACTACGGCCTTAACGTTAGCCGTGGTTGTAATACCAGAGCGTATACTTGTATTGTTCAGTGGAGCAGAAAGTCAAATTGCAAAGCAGTAGTACTACAAACGCTTTAACAAGAAACGGGGCCAATAACAAACAATCAACAATGGACCTGTAAACTTTGGGCTACCTAACACAAATGTCATCCATGCTGATATCAGCTTAGGCACGTGCAAGTGAACTTTTGCATATAAGTTTGTAAAGAAGATATATAGATATATCCAAGGTATATAAGATTAAATTCTTATGCAGCATAACTTTTATTTGAAAAAAAATCTGGCACACGCTCGTTTTGTTTTTATACTCTGATCATCTTAAAGGCCGTTTATTTCGTTCTTATATGCAAACACAAGTGTCGTTCTGTCTCAGATACGTGGGATATCGTTTCTTAATTAACATTTCGGAGTCGAGGGCCGAGGCTCCACAAATAACACAATGAAAAGAATTACGTTCTGATCAAAACCTTGGGGCGACTGAACTTTTAATGATTCATAAGGCAGTGTTAAAACTGGACCATGGTAATACAAATTAACTTTATCGTTTGTTAAGATAACTTTTTTGTCCAGTTTCATGCCATCACATATACAAATGTCTTTAAGGTATTATCGTGTTGGCAATTAGAAACTAATCTAGAAATAAAAACTTTTGAATTCATATAAAACCAAAACCATACTAATGAAAAGACCTAAAACAATTAAATATATTTTTAATATACTTAATCGTATTATCTTTGCAGGATCCACAGAGGCACAAAACAAACGAACCTCCCACGTTACCAACTCTCGTAGTTTTGGCACCAACGTCAAGCCCATCAACTCCAATGGCCTTAGCTTCGAATGTCCCGAGGAGTTCGGCTACTACCCGCATCCCTCTGACTGCACCCAATACTATGTGTGCGTTTTCGGAGGAGCTCTGCTCGAGAGCTGCACTGGAGGTCTGATGTACTCGCACGAGCTGCAGACGTGCGATTGGCCGCGGAACGTGGGCTGCGAATTGTTGGACACATCCTCGGATCGCGGCCCCGCACGTAGTCAGAGCCAGAGTCAACCACACAGCCAAGCGCAGCATGTGCCCAGCCGGGTGCGCTTCGGTGCCGCATTCAGCAGCCCGGCCGGCGCGCAGAAGGCGCCCACGGTAGCACCGCAGTATCATCGCTCACCGCCACAGGTTATTCAGGCACAGGTGCAGCACATACCGCCTCCGCCACCAGAACTACGAGTTCCACCCAACCCGGTGATCACATCGCGTGGTCAACCGAAACCTTTGATCAATTCCCAAGAGGACATAGCAAAGGTGAGTTCATGTTTTTTGTTAGGAAGTTAAACAAAATCCGTGGTCTTATGATGCCCCTTAATTTTATTTTTTTTTTTTTTTCTTTTTTTTTCTTCCTTACTAATTACTAATTTTTTTTTTTTTTTTTTTTTTTTTTTTTTTTTTTTTTTTTTTTTTTTTTTTTTTTTTTTTTTTTTTCTTTTTTTTTTTTATTTTTTTTTTTTTTTTTTTACCCTTTCAAAAGTATTATAAGAAAGTTCTAAAATATATAAAGTTTTTTATGTTATTCACTTAAACGGATATCCTGTAGTGGAAAATTAAACCTTTAGCGTTCCCTATTGTTTAAGCTAACTAAAGAAAACGTTTTTCTGAATAAAATTACTTGTAATTAATTTATTGTAGGGATGAGAACACAAAAATGCAAATACACATATCTTTTATTTAAGCTTTATACAGATGCACAAGAGACGTTGCCGCCAGTGGAAGAAGAGGAGTCCGATCGCCAGCAGAGAGTGTATCGCGGCCAACCCAGTACCGTTAGTCAAGTGCAACGTGATCGTGATGGTATTATTCACCAAGCCAGTATCAATGCCATCCCTCAATCAGGAAAAATTGGATCGTATGCATTTGGAACAGCTTACAGGTAAGAAGTCACTCTACTGCAAGTAGCTTATCTCTCATCCATCGTCGCTTTCGAATTGATGCAACTTTCTTACTGATACTAAATAAACTTAAAATTCTACGCAACTTATCGTAATACATGCTATTTTCTCTCATGCAACGCATACTGCACTATCTCTTTATCTTGCTCCAACCGACACCGACATATGCACACTTCGACCTCAAACTTCGGACAACCGTACTGCTTTTGGAAAAAAATTCTGTACACAAACAGAGAAAGCTTGGACAACGACCAGACGTTAGACTACGAACTGTCCAGCAACCGACTCAATAAAGGTAGGCAACGCAAACGCCGCGACCTTGAAGCCCTAGTCATGGAAGCTGTGCCCACAGAGATCAAAGAAAGTAGGAGTTCCAATGAATCTCACATTTCAATAGAATCTGTGAAGCCCAATAGCCCCACAACACTTCCGGATAGTAGCGAAATTGCGAGCTCCAACAATGCAAAAGAACGCTATGATGACGAAACACCGACTATCACTAATCCACGTAAATACTCTTCAAAGATCAGTCAAGATGTTGGCCAGCCCGCAATGGAATTTCAATACGAAGAAATAGCTGATGAGGGTGAAGAATTGTTAGATGAAGATAGAGACGAGGATGATGTGGCTACGAACGAGTCAAAGAGGCGACCCCGCCAGTTACGTCCCGTTTCAAAGTGGCCGAGACAAAACTACCGTGCCATCGGCGCAGCCCCTCCTTCACAGTACACTCAGCAAACTGGGTACAGTTTCGGAAATTACAATCCTTTCCTCACGCCCCCCAATCCTGCGCTTAACCAACCTACATATGGCAATCACAACTATAATGGGCTCAGTCCCGGCTACCACGCGTATCAGCACCAGGAGCAGCAAGTGGGTCCACCTGGTTCACTTCTCCAGCAAAAGCCAAAAGTGGTCTACACTGGCTACAACCTGTCGTTGCCCCCACCAACGCTGGAAGATGACTTTCGACCCATTTCAGGCAGCTTTTATGGAGCTGCAGGCACAGATCCCAGTAGTCCACGACCCCCAAAAAATCTGCCACAGCATTCCGGCATGGCTGATTTGCTGCCCTACCTGATACAACAGCTAAAAGAGTTAAAGGAACGGCGCAAGCATCTCCAGGCAGAAAACTTTGCATACTTTCATCTGGACAATAAGCCCGTGAGCCCAGCCCCCGTTGCAGGGACAACGGCTATTCCCACAGCCAGCTCCACCCACTACCTTTCATTAGACCCAAAGACCACACAGCAAGTTACTCCAAACTTTCAGTACAGCACGATGGGTGGGTTTTTCAACAACCAGAAACCTGACCAAAGCCCCTACACTTCCAACTACCCAAACAAGTTGGTTTCCCAGTACAGCATTGGCACTGCTGACAGACAACGCAGCACGACGGAGAGCAACTACTTTCAGTATAACTTTGAAGCCAACCAGAAAATGAAGGGCGTCTTTAGCACCATAGCGCCGAATCAGATCGGTCCTGCTGCCGTCAAAGTGAGGCCTCCTGTGACGCCGCTGCAGGTGACCCAGAGCATTAAAGTGATATCGGCCCCAAATTTGGCCTTCAACAGACCCAATAGTCTGCAGCAGGTTCCGTTTCGTGACTTTTCGCACACTCCCGTAGGCATTACCTACGCCAGCAACAACACGGTGCCAGAGTCCTATCAGACCTTCACCAAATCAATCGTCACCACGGAGGCGCCTCTTCGCGATGTGCCCAAAACTACGACAAAGGCGACGAATTTTCAGTTCAACATTCAGGAGTTTATGGCCAACCTTAAGGCCAGCGATCTGGCTAATGTTAATCCAGTTGTAAAACCGTTGATCAAGTACTTTAAGCCGGACGGTAGTAATGTAAATGAGAATGGTAACCTGCGTAATGCGCTGATTTTTCGTCGACCTACAGCAGACAATTCAAGTTCAACCAGCAGCACGACTTCAACCACCCAAATCTCTACTACATCGAGTCCGTTGGCTTCCAAAACACGCCTTAGAGGCAAGACCACTGTGCCCACGCCTGTCACTCCGACTACAACTAAAGCTCTGAAGGGCTACGAGAATTTTATCAAGGGCATACAGAACCAACTCAACAAGCAAAAGTCTAGTCAAAGTCCCGCCTCCAACTCAACAAACACCACTCTGCCGACAACCACGACATTTGAGAGCGTCGACTATTATGATGAGGATTACGAAGAGGATGAGGACATACAACCTCCGTCTCAAATGCCTCCTTATATGCCTATGTCTGAGACTATGGCCCCTCCCCGGCCACAGTTTGTTACAGCTGCTCCTATTACTGAGTCGCCAGGAAAACTACGACAAAACTTCCAGACGGGATTCCTGGAGGCAACGACCACCCGACGTCCGTTTCCCAATTTCTCACAGCTAAGCCAACCAACTGCCGAGGCCGGTGTGCCTTCATTCATTAGTTTTCCTAGCGACATCTTCCAGGAACTCAAGCAGCGGCTACCTCAGCTCCCAGAGTCTAACACTGAGCACACTACTACTAAAGTATCCACCACCCCAAGTAACTTGCGTCCAACCTCCAATCCAAGGCCAATATCCTCCAGCAAGGTTCCGCCAACATCTCGAACACGTTATGTAACGCGAACACGTACAAGAGGACAACAAAAATGGATGACGATGACACCGGGCCAGGGAGAACAGGGCAAAAAGGCGCTTACCGACAATGACCCTGGCATTTTAGGTTCCAGCAAGCAGATCAGCTTGGGCGGCCTACAAAAAAACTCTGTACATGTCAGCTCAGGCGCACAAAGACACAGGTAGCTATACCAAAAGAGTGAAATTCCTGATAGTCGATTGAACTACATTGTGTTGCTACACTAATACACAATACATCAATGAATACAAGAAAACAAGCGTTCTATGTACATATATATATTAAAAACTCCTACCCGCTCGGCAACATAGCGGCAATATTGTTTATTCGTCCACGTTAAGACCCACTACTAAGCAATATTACGGATTGAAGCTTCCAAAGCTGTACAGTTGACTAAACAAATGTTCTGGACTGGGTTATTTTAACTCTAACTTACTAACTTACTTTCTGTGCTAACCTCCCATATACTTGCTATCTGTCCATCCGTAGTACTCATTATTTTGTTTTATTAATTGAATTGTTTTTGATCTTATTTTACATTTTTCTCTCCTATTTACGAACATCACCATTGTCTCTCCATAATATACTCCCTTATTTGCTGTGAATTATTGCCAATGTATATAATCTTCGCCATTTACACGACATTTCATATTGAAATCATCTTTAATATCCAACAACAACCTGTACAGAGTTGAGTCATCCTCACCGTCATCACTAGGGGCTCCGCAACTCGCTAATATATTTGTACAGCCTACGCAAAAAACTCCATTGCCACATTTAGAGCCCAATCCAAACTACTACAATGCATCCACATTTAATCACGGGGGCGGCTACCAATCACCGCAGCAGCAACAGCAGCAGCAACAACAGCTACAGCCAACACCATTCCAACAAGCGCAACCGCAACAACAGAAACATCAGCAGCAGGCACAAGCTCCTCCACATCCCTATGATTCACCATATTATTCTGTTTACGACGACGATATCGATTTGTATAGGGATGTAGAGTACCAACAGCAGCAGCAAGAAGATCAGCAGCCAACAGCACCGCCCCAGTATCAGCCAACAGGGCGCCAACAGGTCCCGCACTCCACCTACCGACCATTAGAGCTATCGGCCACTCCGACACCCCCGCAAAAGCAGTCTTACGGTAGCCATCCAAGTTTGACCTACTCTACGGACTACGAGGAAAGCATTAATACGCAGGTAAAATAAAATGCTATATTAATGTATTTATATTATTTGTAAGCTTTTATTTTGGAAGTAACTACATTTTTCAAAAATTGTATTTGTTTATATATTTTTTACACGTAAAAAGTATCACTAGAATCAATGTATATAATCGTAATCAGGATCACTAGCCGAGTTGATCTGGCCACGCCCGTCGTCTTGTCTTCCCGGTTGTGCATATGAACGCTAAGATTTTTTCTAAAAAAAACTTGAATTAAAAGTCCAGGTTCTAGTGATGCATGTATAGAGCATGTTTTTTAAGAAATTTTTAAGAAATTAAAAATTTAAAACTTTAAACGGACAGTGACTACCGAGTTGGGAAATATTCTTAAATATAATGTTTTACCAACAGATGGCAGATACATTGTCCTTATACGTTATAGCATATTTTAGGTTGGGCTCGGTGAAAAAATATTAGGCCTCGATACTCAACTCTTGCAATTATATAGACGATTTTTTTAAATGGTAATCATTGATGAAAAAGTATATATAACATTTTTATCTGTTTTTAGATCGAGCAGGAAAATATGTACGATCAACCGACACGTTCACCCCAAAGGTAAGTAACAGTTATATCAACTAAATTTATTAACACCTCGTCATTCCTCAAGCTGGCTTCTCTTCCAAGATACAGTCAACATTGCAAAGCAATTTAGGCTAACTGAGTTCTCATTAGAATTTGTTCCTCATATCTAGTTAAAAACCTGCATAGCGTATGACTTAATAAACACAAACAGCCACACAGAGCATCAAAATTTAGACACTACTGCCAATCTAATAAGTATACACCAAACCACAATACATTTATCTATCAGGGCAGAACAGATGGTCGTACAAAAGCTGGATACACGTGTTACTCCTTCGAGTCCTTCATCCTCAACGACGCCGGCCTCCAGACCTAACGTTCCTAACCACTACGACACGCTTACCACATTTTATGCTTCGGATCTCGGGCCAGCCGACTATAGTTACTCCACTTCCGCAGAGTACACTTATGGGTCAGCAGAGGACTACGACCAAAGCGAACGCACACTGACTAGAGCCAAGCCAAGGCCCGTCACCGATACGGATGATAATGATCTGAACAACAATGTTGTGGGTCCTACCGGCAAGACCACAACGGTGCCACCAACTAGATCACAAAACACAAAAGCAACGTCAGCACCTAGCCAGAGCCCGACCAAGAGTTCCTTCACCTCCACACAAACTATTAAGGTCACAAAATCCACAACAACAACCACGCCATTTCCACCACCTACAACAAAAAAACTTTCAAGGTATTTTCAATAGCCCCGCGATAGCGCCCTGAAACGCCGTCTGACCTATAGTTTTTTTATCAGTAGCCATTCACCGCAATTGCAACTCAGTCATCTGCTGGCTTTATAGTTATTTGAATAGTTTTTAAGCTCTTCTAGACGCAAACCGCGCGTAGCTTTGAAATTGGTTTACCACTTTATGCAAAAAAAACAGTTACACTCAACAATTTTGATTAGGAAGTTGTTGTATCTGTACAGTTACCTACAGCAGCAACAGATTTGTTTCGGGCTATTAATGAGAGTTATGTACCTAAGTGCTGCATTTCGTCATCATTTTAAAACTCTGTTTACTGTTCGAACTCATATCACTTTCTTTATGTTCTCCTGTAATGTGATTAAGTACTCATATCCATTGCATGACTACCCATAAGATCGCGAAATATAAGTACGCATGAGCATGTATATATTCGTAATTTTCCGAGGTCTCAGTGTGCAGCCCACTCTAAAGAAATAACCACAAACTAAATAATTTTGAATTTGAGAACCAAAAGGCTAGGCAAATAGGATTTCGTATACACTTAGTATAAAACTACTAACAATTATATAATTACTTATTACAATACACGTCTCTTCAACAGCTCGAAATCGCATGAAAATAAACCATATAAGCAAAATGTTCCCAAACAGTTAAAGACAACTACACAAGCTTCCAGGACCCTATCCACTATAACGTCCAGCTCCACACCTTCCCCGAAATCCACGTCCTATACTTCCAATCCCTTTCTAAAATTAAAACTGCAAAGTCTTGCCAAGTCGGTGGTTAGCATTGTCTCAAAGAGCCAACCCAAAGAAAATTCAACAGGTTTCCGCCAAGTTCAAAACATTACAAACTCCAATCGCCAGCCCACCGTTCTTGAAATATTTGCTGACCAACTTCCTGCTCAACTCTTATCCCCGATCCCCCCACTCTCGACAACACAATGGCCCCTGGTGGAGGACAGCTCAGGCAGTGGTCAATCGGAGCACGTTGAGACTATCTCTGAAGAGAGTCAAAACGTTCTTGTGCAGACGGTCGAGCCGCCGAGGAGTCGGTCCCTAGAAACTAGTACGCCGCCAAAGTTCTTGGACTTTATCAATGCCGCCGCTTACGGTACCAGTCCTCGTGGGAATCTGCTAAATTCAATGCCGGATAAACTTGGGAACAGGGAAATGGCATATCCCGACCGAGAATATTCATTTGAGGCAAATCCAGAACCAGTTCCAAAGCGCAAACGAATTCAGACCTACATCACTTCCGATGTGACACCACAGAGTTTTAAAGTTCCAACAAACGGCGAAGTGAGACCACCACCAGATGAAATGGAAAGCGCAAGTACAACTAGACCCAATAAGCCAATTCAATATAGTATTCAAAGTGGATCGCATGGCTTTAGTTTGCGTGCTGAGCAAAACGAAAGCAAACGTAATACGTCTGATCCAATTTTGGCAGAGAAGAATAGTCTGCCGTCCACCACAACCACAACTAGCACAACAAAACCAGTTGACTTAGCTGAACAGTATGCGGACATCATACCCACAACATATGCCCCACCATTTCGAATTTGGCGAAATGGACGACCCACCATTCAACAGGCATTTTATAGAGCAACAGCCGCGAGTTTTAGCTCAACTACTAGTACCAGTACAAGTACATTACCGCCCACCACATCTGATAATAATGATGCTGCTGACAGCACGATAAGGAGCACTACAACGTCTAAGCCTAACACTGATCGGTATATTGTACCGTCGCCAAGTTACACGGCCCGCATTAATCACTTTAAAGATAATATAAATCGCGTTACTGCCAGCCCGGCGATGCGTTATGTCTCCCCGTATAAAAGCCTGGAAAACTTACTCCAGGAAGACCGGCAGCATCAGCACCACCAACTTAGGACAACTTCCAGGCCGCGCTATACTAATTCTCCCGCCTTTCCGAACTTCCTTCAGACTACTTTGAAGCCGTCAAAGAATTTTTTGATGATAACATCAATTAAAAATACTAGTCAGGATGTACTGGCCACCATGGCGACAGGAAACGCACGTAACTTTAGCGTAAGCGACGCTATACTCAGCACATTCAGTCACCAGCGACCGCCGCCAAGTACGCTTCGAAGCACAAACAAGACAACACAATTTACCACCACCACGGAACCATCACGCCCAGAAACTATCACTTCTGTTACCGCAACAATGGGCTCCACCGTAATCGCATCTTTGCCTATTCGCGTATCACAATCTCCAATGAGTCCTCGTGGCCGGTCACGCTATACCGCGGCCACTTTAAACAGTCTCGGAGAGAGTTTGGACGAGCCCACGACGTATGCGCCCAAGATTAGAAAACCTACTGGAGATAATCTCAGTCCGTACCCAAAACGCAAGCCGCAACGCGCTCGTGTAATCAACAGTCAAAGAACTTCATTTGGGGAGTCAACAGCAAAGCCAAATGAAAAATATGAAGTTTACAAAGCGTCATTGCAGTCTAAGGATTCCGGTTACGTCACCCAAAGTGAGAAGTTCCTAAAGCGTAAACCAATTGAGAATGAATCCATCATTGCGGATGAGCCAAGAGCTGAAGCTTTAGTCAGCCAACCAATTAATACCAAACAACAGAACAGTATAGAAGAAGCTGGTTCTGCTATAGCCTACAGCTCAACAGAACATGTGTTGGCGATAACAGACCGCCCAACTGCCAAGTTTCTTTACTCTAACAAATACCGACAGAAAACGGCGGAAAGCACTCTGGCAGAGAGTCTTCAGAACGCCGGATACATTGCGTCTACCAATGGGCCAGCAGAGAAGTTCCGATCAGCAAACGTCCTTGAACATCTAAGGCAGTTTCTTGCCGGCAGCGACAGCTACAGCAACAGCGATGAAAGCGGCACATCCCAATTCGTTGACGAATATGCACTGCCTGAGGTCGAAATCGCTGAGATCAAGGATCTATTCCTGCTTCCGGATCGACCAGCAACCACAACATTAAAATCGATCACGACACTGCGTCCTGCCACTATGCCTAATGCCCCGCCATCTTTAGATCAGTCCACTATAGGAAATGTTAACGCGTTAATGCGACAATTACCAAATCAATCCAAAGCATACATCTCTCCCTCTACACCAAGCGTCTTGGGTGACAATTCTACCACAACCGAAAGAACAATTCCAAACACTAACAATATAAGTACCACAAAAACCCCAAATGCAACACCAGTTTCCCCGACCTCCTCCCCCACAATCGCCAATGCCACAGCTACACCCTCCTCGTTTACACAACACATTGCGCGCGCTTCGAGGGTTAACAATATCATAAAGTCGTCGATTGCTGCCGCTGGCCTAAGCCCTAGCACCCCAATTAATCAACCACCAGGTTTACCGGGAAAAGCCGAAAAGTTCCAGTTCGGCTTTGCTCCCAAAACTAAAAACCACCATACAAGCAGCATCAACCATAATGGCGCCGCAGCATCAGCCTCGGTGAAGTGCTCCGATAGCACACTGAACGCCAAATGCAACGAGATCCCTTTAAGGTATATTTACCCGTACAGATTGCTTTTAAGTTCAGTCGATCCCAGCCATCACTCCACTATCTATATCGCTCTCTTTATTATTCCTCTATTAGAATCACCGTAATTTCGTTTTTGAACACAAAAAACCAATTTTAGTCTCCCACTCAACACTGTACTGGTTGTACTGTACTGTACCCAAGCTTTCTCTAGTCTCTCATCGCCACCCACATCCACCCACCTCTAATCAAAGTATTTATAGACACACTTCCATTTGGTTGGTGTTAATTGTAGGTAAATTAGTGACCCCACAGTATTCTTTGCTAAACAACCAAAGCCTATAGACCAATATTCGATATTACGTACTTTTGTCTATAGGATGTTCGATTTTACTGCAAGCTCTGTGACATTTGCGAAGATACATACGTACCTTCTAAATTTTAGCTACTGGGTAAAATGTTGCAAAAAACTTTGGTTATCAAATTTCAGACGGCTTTCTTTTTTGGCAAATCTGTTAGCTTAGCAAGGAATATCTTTGTATTCGTATCGGTGGTGGCCCATAAAAGTAAATCCTTTTAATTTTGTTATTAAACTTTCATCAATTTGTTGAAAAATCTGAAATATTAAGAAGATCCCAGTAATGTGAGAACTAAGAAGTTAAAGAACTTTAATGATACATTTTTATTTTTATATATAAGAAATATAAAATTATATTATTTAATGCAATAATAATAATTTAATCGGGACAGCCAGTAAAGGTACATAAATGCAAAGAAAAAAAATGTTAGGTTCAAAATTTGTATGTATGAACCAAAATTTAGCACATTTTACCGAGTACAATTTAGTAGAGCTCTTGTGTCACCGACAGCAAAAGAGCATCTAAGCATCACAGTAAAACCTTTAGAGATAGTTTGTTATAGGAATGACATCGCAGTGTAGGTTCGTAACAGTAAAGTAATTTACTTTTACTTATTTCAAAATCTACCTCAGTCTGTACAAAAACCAAAGATTTTTGTATCTTTTCAGTTAATATCTAAAATGGTTTATTTGTTTTTATCTTCTGCCTACTTCTGCATCCTTTACACTAAAAATCTTTGTATTTCTCAGCTTACCAAAACCCAACACGTGACACATAAGTATGCTATATAACTTTTTGGTTCTCACTGAAAATAATAAATCAAAACATTGGGCAATAAAACTATGTTTGCTCTGTCGGTAAAGGTTTTAGATAAGTTAACAGAAAAAAGTAATGGGTACTAACGAGTATATATTAACCTGTGTATTTAGGACAACAAAGCTTGGATTCATCTGTATACTGTATATTTGTGTAGCACAAATTAGTAAAAGCAAAATACTGGCATTTTAAATAAGTAAACTCTGACTTCACCTCCAAACATTTCCTAAACGAATAAATACTTAAAATTGTATTTAGAAACAACAATAGAAACCGGGGAAGTGCCATGTACGCAAATCAGGATCGAGATGTGGCGAACCGTGGAACTCACCCTCCGTAAGTATTTATTTTACTATATGGCGTCACGATTATATGCAATATCATTTCTTAAGACGAACACGTCCTACACTAAAACCTTCGGGCACCATCGTTTCAAAGGCACAAGAGTTTGTGGACATATACAGAAACCCTCCGACTCGGCCCGACCCCATTTATCCGCAGCCCACGCCCGATAAAACGGCAGCCAAGTGCAGAAAGGACGTATGTCTTTTACCAGACTGTTATTGTGGAGGAAAGGAAATACCTGGTAAGTGCGAATTTCTAGATCACTATTTTAGGGTAAACGTCCGTACCAAAAGCCGCTTGAAATGAAAAGATATAATTTTAATGTCATCAAATGTGTAGGCGGCTTAAGCGCCTCAGAGATCCCACAAATTGTACTTATGACATTTGACGATGCCGTCAACAAAATAAATATTGATCTTTACGATGAACTTTTGAATAATGAGTCGTGGAAAAATCCCAACGGATGTCCTTGGCGCGCAACTTTTTATCTATCGCACGAGTGGACGGACTATGGTATGGTACAGGATCTGTACTCACAGGGACACGAAATGGCATCGCACACCGTTTCGTAAGTTGCACTCAACAACGATCTCATCGGCGAAGGTTCCATCTCCCTAGATATACGGCCAATCACAGGGTGCATTGTTTTCTTGCTCGCTTTTACCTTAAATAAACACACGCCCCTGTGCTCTACATTATTTCATCCACATTTCATCTGAATTACTAGGAGACCTACCCGTTGATAGCATCCCTCAGATCGTTCTCTTGACCTTTGATGATTCCGTAAATGACTTAAACAAGCAGTTGTACACAGACCTCTTTGAGAAGGGTCGCGTCAATCCCAACGGGTGTCCCATCACAGCCACTTTTTACGTCTCCCATGAGTGGACTGATTACAGTCAGGTGCAGAATCTCTACGCCGATGGACATGAAATGGCTTCGCATACAGTTTCGTAAGTAGATGGAGCTAGATTCTTAATCTTGACACAGAAATACACACCAATGACAGCCATTAAAGGCACTCAATCGCAGTAATTATGTATTCCATGAAATCCATTACAATGCACAAACATTTCAACTCTAATATTATCAAAAGCACACTGCTGTATTAACGATCATGTTAATGTAAATGAAATCAATTTTAATGTAATAATCATAAACACATTAATCTACAGTCACAGCTTTGGCGAGCAGTTCTCGCAGAAAAAATGGACTCGTGAAATTGCCGGTCAGCGCGAGATTCTTGCTGCTTACGGCGGTGTAAAGTTGTCAGATGTGCGAGGCATGCGCGCACCTTTTCTATCCGTGGGCGGAAACAAAATGTATAAAATGCTATACGACTCAAACTTTACGTACGACTCTTCCATGCCTGTCTATGAGAACAAACCACCCTCCTGGCCCTACACACTGGACTACAAGATATTCCACGATTGCATGATTCCGCCCTGCCCGACCCGCTCCTACCCAGGGGTATGGCAAGTACCTATGGTTATGTGGCAGGACTTGAACGGAGGCCGATGCTCGATGGGCGACGCCTGTTCTAATCCCAGTGATGCGGACGGTGTAACCAAAATGATTATGAAAAACTTTGAACGTCATTACACTACTAACAGGTAAATATGCGCAACTTTATTCAATAAAATTAAACGTTTTGGTAGAGGTATAATTATCATATTTTTGCATACTGAAACGCTGATCTTAGACCAACAAAAGAGCAGTTATGCAGCCAGAAAACGATTTAAAATAATTTTGCCAACTGCAATTATTTCGTATTTTTATTCGAAGAGTAAACATTTCGGGCAGGAGCTAACGATTTTAATTAATTGGTTCGATAGTCAACACCTGTCGTCTGTCCATATCACAGAAACTATTAGTCTCTTATTTTTGTATAAGCTGTTTGCTATTTTATGTTCTGAGTTCGTTTTACTTCTGTTTACAGAGCACCTTTCGGACTGTTTTACCACGCCGCTTGGTTTACCCAACCTCACCATAAGGAGGGCTTTATCAAATTCCTTGACACCATCAATGCCATGAAGGATGTATGGGTCATAACAAACTGGCAAGCGCTGCAATGGGTGCGGGATCCTACACCGACATCTCGCATTAACTCATTCCAGCCGTTCCAGTGCGATTACTCGGTAAGTATATACATAGTTGATAAAAATGCTTGTAGAGAAATAACTAAATCGACTACCAAAATAGGATCGGCCAAAACGGTGCAACAACCCGAAAGTCTGTAATTTGTGGCATAAGTCTGGCGTCCGATATATGAAAACGTGTCAGCCCTGCCCCGACATCTATCCGTGGACTGGAAAATCCGGAATAAGGTCTTCTCGCATTGATAATGAAGTTGAAGAAACTGCGGCGTAAAACTCAACATCTCCAGTCTAGCATGGACTAGGACCTTAGGCTAGCAATAGGCAAGAAGGAATACTCAGCCATTTAAGATGTCGAAATGTTAAAGCCACTTATCATACGAGCTCAAAATACGGAATTCACTCGTTAAATGTTTTCATTTAATTTAATATGTTTAGATAATTTCTATAAACGACTTTAGTTAATTTTTTGGAGCATGTTACTACAAATTATTTATTCTCTTTTCCTTACTCAATACCTATTTGGAAATTCCTATAGATTTTACGTATACGGATATTCTTGAAGTTGCTCACGCATTCGCAACACGATCCTTGTAAACGTAAATCAATTAGGCATACGATTATTAAGTACTAATATATTGCGTGTTTGGTGCACCGAGTCCTTCGACATGATGCAACATTCAATAGGATTTTGATGCACCGAATTCATGGTTTCATTCCAGGCCGCATTTAGATATAAGGCTAATATATTTTTTCGTTTAACGTGTGATAAAGAGTTATAGCTGAATTTATGTATTATTAGATATGCGCAAGCCTTTGGTCAAGTCTTTCCTTTTCCGTTTTTCTTTTAAATGCCGAAGTTTTTGCTACAAAAGTTAAAGTTACGTCGAACCCAAGATTATATTGGAATTAGGTGCATCGGAATAGAAAAGTTGTATTAAATTTCAAGGCATTTCAGCGTCATTTTTACGAATATATACCATTTTTTAAATCAAAAACTACGATTAACACTTTCATATGACCTTTTTCAGTCGCCTTAAAAGTAAAACATACTAAGTAAAATATTTTAAATCCATGAATTCAATAGACAAGTAAAATTCTTAGACATTACAACTAGATATCCAATGGCAGTATGTATCTGGACATGTCAAACGAAAAAAAGTCTAGAAATTTTTAAGTCGGAACGATTGCCAATACTTAAAAGTTCTTCAGAGAAATAAATAACATGAATTCACTTTAATGAATCGAAGTTCAAATTTATGTACTATGTAAGGTATGCGAAAATATAAAGTGTATTCAACTTAAACTAAGGAAAGCTGATAACCGCAGCGGTAAATCATATATTATAAGGAAATATATAGATAGGGAGCTACACTACACTCAGCAGGGCGCAATATAAGAAAGTTTTCGGAGAAACGAGTGAATTAAGTATTTTGTGCTAGTGTTTCTAAGAACAATTAACCTATGTTTCTCGAATCTACGAATAGTTTACATGTAATAAAATGTAATATTTAAATTGTAACCTATTTTCTCAATGAAAGTGAATTGTAAGTATACCGGCCATATTTTCTGATATGACACGAAACATTTGCTGCAGGTGTTACAATTGATATCCTCGCGTATACATCAATATCGAGCACTATATAATTAGAAGAGGTTACGAACTCTAGCGTGCAAGCATTCAAGTTGCCAATGGTATAAAAAGAACTAACGGCTCACAGCCGCAAACAGACCATACTTAAAACTTCTACACGTTATGTCGGAAATGTGGAAAGTTTTAGTCATATTCACGACGCTATGGTTTGTTGCTGGAGGAGCCAATAAAACTGATTATCAAGAAAAGTGTATCAGCAGCCAGCTCATTGCCCGTTATCAATTAAATGAAAAAATATATGGACTGGAAAGGTGTAGTAATAAAAATGCAAATCATTTTCGCCAAAAGCGCCGTGTTGACCCCACATTTCATGGCAATCCAAAGCCTCGAGGAGAGGTTTTAGCCAGTAAGTTTCACGTTAATTCTTACAACTTTGATCAGACCAACTCTTTAGTCGGGCTAGTTAACAAAATTGCCCAAGAGTACTTAAATAAATGTCCACCGGTCATATATTATGACAGTTATGTGGAAAAATCCGATGGACTTATTCTTGAGAATTTATTTAGGGTAAGTTTACTAAAACACATTAATTTACTAATAATCTATAATATTTAAGATCCACTTACAAAATTAAATTAAAAGAGCACAAGGTAGAGGTAATTTTTTAAAATTTTTAAATCAAAATCTTCGTCGGTTTCGAAAACGAAAAAAGTTGAATGAGAACTTTATATTACTATACTTAAAAATAATATAAATTAATTTAATTTGCAGACTATCCCAATTACTTTTTACCACGGCGAAATCAATGCAAATTACGAGGCAAAAAGTGCCCGTTTTACAGAACACATTGATAGCAATTGCAAAAGTTACATTCTGTTCCTTTCGGACCCACTGAAGACGCGAAAAATTTTAGGTCCTCAAACAGAAAGTCGTGTGGTCCTTGTATCAAGATCCACACAATGGAGACTCCGTGATTTTCTGTCCTCGGAGCTTTCCTCAAACATAGTAAATTTACTAGTTATTGGCGAATCTTTAATGGCTGATCCAATGCGCGTGAGTACACGTAAATTTATAATAGACAAATACGAATGACGTTAAACACACCATCGTTACAGGAACGCCCCTACGTGCTATACACCCACAAGCTATATGCAGATGGCCTTGGTTCAAATACACCAGTGGTTCTTACAAGTTGGATAAAGGGTGCTCTATCACGACCCCATATAAATCTTTTTCCACCAAAGTTTCAACTTGGCTTTGCGGGCCACCGGTTCCAAATTTCAGCATCCAATCAGCCGCCCTTCATATTCCGTATTCGGACTTTAGATTCCTCGGGAATGGGTCAGTTACGGTGGGACGGGGTAGAATTTCGACTATTAAGCATGATATCTAAGCGCTTAAACTTTTCGGTGGATATAACTGAGACTCCAACAAGGGCCTTTACACGGGGGGTTGTTGACAACATCCAGCAGGAGATTGTCGAAAGGAAGGTAGACATCGGGATGTCCGGAATTTACATAACTGAGGAGAGGCTGCGTGACTCCGACATGTCGGTGGGACACTCGCGCGATTGTGCAGCCTTTATAACACTCGCATCGAAGGCACTACCGAAATACAGAGCCATTATGGGCCCTTTTCAGTGGCCCGTTTGGGTTGCTCTTATTTGCGTTTACCTCGGAGGGATATTTCCAATCGTTTTTACAGACCGTTTAACACTAAGCCATCTAATAGGGAACTGGGGAGAGGTAGAAAACATGTTCTGGTATGTGTTTGGCATGTTCACAAACGCGTTCACCTTTACCGGAAAATACTCATGGAGCAATACCGACAAGCATTCCACACGCCTATTGATTGGAGCGTATTGGCTCTTCACAATTATCATAACATCGTGCTACACCGGTTCCATCATTGCATTTGTAACTTTGCCAACCTTTCCTGATACAGTTGACTCTGTTCGGGACCTTTTGGGCTTGTTTTTTCGTGTGGGTACCCTAGGTAAGATCCATAATACAGAATAATTTTTATAATATTTATTTACGTTCGCAAAGACAATGGTGGCTGGGAGAACTGGTTCCAGAACTCCACCCACATTCCGACGTCAAGACTGTACAAGAAGATGGAGTTTGTCACAACACTCGAAGAGGGGATTGGTAACGTTACACAGAGCTTCTTTTGGAACTACGCTTTTCTTGGCTCAAAGGCTCAGCTTGAGTATTTGGTGCAGTCAAATTTTTCAGATGAGTAAGCTCTTTCCTTTATTTCTTTTTCAAGATTCCAAACAAATATGACATTCTCTTGCAGAAATGTATCGCGACGATCGGCGCTTCATTTGAGCGAGGAGTGTTTTGCTCTTTTTCAAATAGGTTTTCTTTTTCCCAGAGAGTCCGTGTATAAGCGAAAGATTGACTCGATGATCCTGCTGGCTCAGCAAAGCGGTCTTATCGCCAAAATCAATAACGAGGTAAGTTGGGTTATGCAGCGCTCGTCCTCAGGCCGCCTGTTGCAAGCCAGCTCATCGACATCCTTGCGTGAAATAATTCAAGAAGAGCGCCAACTGACCACGGCGGACACGGAGGGCATGTTTCTGCTTATGGCGCTTGGCTACTTTCTCGGGGCCACAGCCCTAGTGTCTGAGATAGTGGGTGGCATTACAAACAAATGCCGCCAAATAATCAAGCGCTCCAGGAAGTCAGCATCTAGCTCTTGGTCCTCCCGCCACAGCTCAATGGCAAGTGGGACGGCGCAGCGTACAGAGGCTGAACAACTGGCACATGATAAACGAAAGGCCACTAGGCGAGAAGCCGCTGAGGTTGATCAGAAGATTAGTTTCGGAATGCGCGAGTTCAATCTCACACGAACAACACTGCGCGAACTGTACGGAAGCTATGGTAGACCTGATCAGAGCTATGAACCACAAACCGTCAACCATCTACAGTTGCCTGACACGGCCAAAAAGAATAATTACAAAGATGATGATGAGTCCCGGGAAGCCATCGCATCCTTAGAGGGTTTAGACGATTTCATAGCCCAGATGGATATCGAGAATGATGCTTTATCACAGGAATTCAGTCCTGACGAATTGTTTGGACCCAATACAGAAAACGGGGATGTCTGAGAATTAGCAAACAGTAATGTGTGAAACATAACATAAATAGGCTTTTGCTACAATCTTTGTAGTGCAAGTTACCGATACGATAATGGATAGAAATTCTGAACATAATTACATTTTTATATTTCGTAAATTTTTCTTTCTTGTTTTTCATATATTTCCAATGAAAAGTATGTAACATCCGCTTGTGTGATTTTGCTTAAGAATATGTATTCTTTATATGTTTGGAAACAATATTTAATAAAAACACTATTAAATAGTTTTTAACAAAGACGAACACAGTATAATGTTTCATACAAAAAAACACTCTAATCTCTGTCCTAATACAGATAGGCGCATTGCAAATAATAACGTGTTAATTGGTGGTTTTTAATTAAAAATAATTCTACAGAATATACACTGTTTAAAATGCATTGCGGAAAAGTATTATAAAATAATAAAATCTCGATGCTTCACTTGCATCTTCACAATTTTTATTTTTATTTTATTTATAGTGTGTACTAAATACAAAAATCACCTAACTGTTGATAAACTGGCAAATCTAGGATTGGAATTTTGAGATGGTAATCAATAATGTTTTTTTTTACATTGTGTTGGGGGTTTTATTTCGCTTAAAAACAATCTAAATATAAAATTATGTTTCCCTTAACTTTCTGAAATCGAATATTTTACTAGCTTTTATTTTTTGTGTCCAATAACATTAATATGAACACTATTAACCGATTTATAATTTAAAGAAACTTCTTTTAAAAATATATAGACAAAATAATAATAATTTAAATAGCGACACAGCGGATTTTACTGACTAGCAAGGTTTTCCACTCACATCGCGGTAAAGTTTAAAAACGACCAAAATTAAAACAGTGTATTTTTTACCGTGTTGAGCACGGTCACTCTGCCAGAATGATCGCGAGTCGCGACGAAATGTTAATTTAGTTTTATTTAGAAATGCCGCTCATCGCTCTTGAAAATATTTTAATCATTTAATCCGGCATTCTCGATGTAATTCCGTTTTTTTTCCGTTATGAGTGTAAGTCATATGTAAGTTCAAAATGTTAAAGGAACGGCGAATGTAATTAGTGCGGGCGTCTCTTTTATACACACATAGTGCATACATACATGGGAGTGTGAATATAAAAAGGGTCTACTATTTACTGGCGAGGCACCCATTTAATTGTGTAAAGGTAAATTCATAAGTAAAAGTGAAAAACATGGCTTTTTTAAGTAATTAACATTTCTATAATGTATAAAGTACTTACCGTGGAAACTGTTTAATTAAAGAGTGCATATAAAAGTGAACTTCCTTAATGGCAAAGAGGGAGAGTCATCCCTGCAAACAGTCAATTGTCAATCTGCTACATAGGCATGCGTGTATAAACACAAATTTATATGTTAACATCTGCTCGTATGAATGAACTAATGCCGGCTTAATATTGCAATGGTATTCAGCTGTTTTAATCGGGTATGAACTCTAAATTATGCTACCACCTTATATCAGAAATGATAAATTGGCTTCATGTCGTTTAATATTATGATCAAAATAAAAAGTAAATCAATTTTTGAAAGTAAACTTGAAATGTGATACATGGATTTATTGTCGTAATTTGCTAATTGCGTTTTTACCGGTATCGTTTTGGACAATGTGTAATTGACAAATCTCCAAATACGTTTAGCTTTTTTAACAAATAAAATAGTCATTTCTTTAACATCCCTGATTGTGTTTTTTAATATCATCGCGCGTTCATGAATTAGCGGAGTTTCTTTGTTTAGCGGAGTTTTCTACCAATACCAGGCCAGAGTTGAAAAACGGCCGAAACTAAGAAGTAGTCGAATTTTTGACCGGTGGGATACGGTCACTCTGTCACACTGATCGCGACGCAACTTGCAATTAATTTTAATTTTAAAATGACGCGCATCGCAATACGTTCAATAGAGACTGCCGTTTTATAAAACAAGTGAACAGTGCGAATTTCGTAGTTCCGTGTTCCGTCGTTATCAGTGTTAGTCATACGTAGTTAGTTTTTCGAGCGACGGCCAATGTGATTAGTGGCGTCCGTCAACATAACACACATACATACTTATGTACATGGAAGTGTGTCAAAAAAGAGAATCCACTATTTACTCAAGAGCCACCGCCTTAATAGAGCAAAGATAAATAAATAAGTGTAAGTGGCTAGGCATTACTTAAGCTTAAGTAATCTATGTATGTGAAAGTACACTACATGAAATTGCAAACTAATTAAGGTGTACATACAAAAGTGGGCTTCTTTGAGTTCAGGCGTAGTCGGTGAGTCAGCCACGCAAACAGTCCACGGTCGTCATTCTGCTGCGTAGGCATGCGTGTAAAAACATACATACATACTTACATATTTGGGGCGAGTGTGTGTGTATGAATGAACGAGTGCCGGCACAAAATTGCAGCATTCAGCTATTTCGGTTGGGAATGAACTCAAAATTAGGTCATCACCTTGCCCATATCAAAGAAATATTTGTTGGCACCAGGCCACACAACTGGTTATATTGGTTATTGGTAATCAGCAAAACTATCAGAAATGGTAAATTTCTGATATGTCTGTTATTACGGAACTTGCTTTCTGGAGTATACATACAAAATAGTATACTTGCTTGCATGTGCAACTCTGCAATTAATTGAGTGTACTATTTGCATTTCACTTATCTAAAAATGCTGCTATTTATAAAAGAATAATATTTTTGTTATTACTGTACTTATATTATACATATTTACTTATTTAAGCGTTATTATGTATGTATACCTACGTACAATCTACATAAAAAGCTGATCATCGCTTCAGACGCCTACAAGAGGTTCCCTGACGTTCAGTAAAAATCTCTACACAACTTGTTTGGCAAGTCTTGCAAGCGAGGTCTAGCTGACTTTTCTATCCTTTTCCCTGATTAAAAATCACACTTTATCATTTGAATTTCTACGAAATTTCAAGTTTTGTTCCCATTAGCTAAAGTAAAATTTACTTTTATGTTTATTATTTTCAGCTTACTTAAAGAAGTGTAATCATTAAAATATTTCAATTCGATCAACTGAAGCCACTATTATAGTTTTGTAAACTATGTTGAAATTTATCCGAGGGAAGGGTCAGCAGCCCAGTGCTGAAAGACAACGCCTACAAAAGGACCTTTTTGCTTATCGTAAGGTATGTACGTATAATATTAATAGCTTAACTGTCGTTATGATAGGCCCCTAACCACCGTATAATAATTTAATATTTTATCAGCAGGGCCTAGTTTATAAAAATAGTTTTGTTTAAAAATTATAAGTGGAATCCCATCCCCTATCTAAAGTAGCTCAAGGTAAATTTGGTTCAACTTTTAATGACATCATACAGCGATTTTTTTAAATCGCCACTTGTATTTTTAAACTAAATGGTTTATGTACGGCTAAGTGTTTATTGAAAAAAATATATATAACTTTTTGCACAACAAATATAATAAAAATGTGTGCTATTCAAAATAACCTAATATATAGGAATATTCATCTTGAAATTAGTCATCAACATTTCATTGCTCTTTATCTATGTAAGTACAAATGTATCACGAAGAAAAAGCCCACCATACAATCAAACCAAAGGTAGTCGCTAGTCAGTACCATGAAGGGAGTGGTAGTTGATAAGATTAACTTTATTTGTTTTGTGGGCTGGGTAAATGGTTCGGTTTCACAAACACTTTCATATCATATGGAACAAAATATGTTGATTGTTTAAGTAGATAGGAGCCATAAGAACTGATAAGACTTCAAACAACCCAAAGGTAACAGAAAATGAGAATTTGTGCACCTGTAACTAGGTTAAAAGTATGTACATATTTATAAATGCATACCGTAGTATAGTAATTTTAAATTAAAAAATTAAAGAAAAAAATACAGCCTTTATATTCATGTTTTTATGAAAAAATATATAAAATAACACAAAACAATAATATTGCTTGTTCTGCACTACTGCATAACATAAAGATGGTTGGATGATTTTTCCGTTCTACACTGAAATTTTTTTTATATATGTGTATAGTGCGAGTACATTTCTCTAGTTTTGTTATATAATTAGCAATGCTTTTCATGTATTTTTAAAATCATATGAATCTTTCAGACCGCACAGCATGGCTTCCCTCACAAGCCATCAGCTCTTGCATATGATCCAGTCTTAAAACTCATGGCCATTGGAACGCAAACAGGAGCTATTAAGGTTTTTGGTCAGCCCGGAGTTGAATTATATGGCCAGCACACGCTAATGAACAATTCTGCATCGGAGCTTAATGTGCAGTTACTTGAATGGGTTTATGGAACGGGTCGCATTCTTTCCTTGACAGCAGCCAATCAATTAATACTCTGGGAGCCTGTTGGAACGACATTGCTGCCAATCAAAACACTTCCTTTTGACGGAAAACTGAAGAAGGTTTCATCGCTTTGCTGTTCCTTGAATAAAGATCTTCTATGGATTGGAACGGAAGGAGGAAATATTTATCAGCTTGATTTACACACATTTACCATAAAGGAACCTATAATTTACCACGATGCTGTCTTAGAGCAGGTGCCACCAGCATACAAGCTAAATCCTGGGGCAATTGAGTCAATTCGCCAGCTGCCGAACGCCCTGAATAAGCTGCTTATTGCTTACAACCGGGGCCTATGTGTTTTATGGGACTTCGAAACGTCATCCGTGGAGAGAGCATACATAGCCCCTGGACATGGGCAAAGCGTTGGACTCTCAGTGAATTTTGGAGGATCCGAATTTAGCTGGTATCACGCTGATGGCTCTTACGCTACTTGGAGCATAGATACCTCAGAACCTCCATCCAACGTTAACTACGTTCCTTATGGCCCTGATCCGTGTAAGAGCATAAATCGTCTGTACAAAGGCAAGCAAGGGTAAGAATATATGACAATTAAATGGAATATGTTCATTGCTAATTCAGGCAATTTTTATAGATCTAACGACGTGATTGTTTTTTCCGGTGGAATGCCACGTTCAGCATATGGTGATCATAATTGCGTATCCGTACACACTAGTAATGGCCACAAAGTGTGTCTTGATTTTACGTCGAAAGTCATTGACTTCTTTGTAACTTACAAAAATAATGAAGATGTCGCTGAAGTTCTTATTGTACTTCTTGAAGAGGAACTCTGCGCATACGATCTCACTGACTCTAGTATTCCTGCAATCAAAGCGCCTTATCTTCACTCGGTGCATGCATCAGCTGTAACGTGTAATTATCTTGCATCTCAAGTCATACAGTCTGTATATGACAGTATTTTACGAGCGGGAGATGAACAAGACATCGACTACAGTAATGTTAGCTGGCCTATCACTGGCGGTGTACTTCCGGATAACTTGGCAGAATCTGATGAAGAGGAGACGCCTAAGTTGTACGAGATCATGTTGACTGGGCACGAAGATGGTTCTGTTAAGTTTTGGGATTGTACTGGAGTGGTGCTTAAGCCAATTTATAATTTTAAAACGAGCAGCATTTTTGGAAGCGAGCATGATTTACGAGACGACGGAGCGGCAGACACTAGTGCTGAACAACTTGACGAAGGGGAGCCGCCATTCCGAAAAGCGGGTCTTTTTGATCCTTACTCTGATGATCCTCGATTAGCAGTGAAAAAAATAGCATTCTGCCCAAAGACCGGACAGCTGATTGTTGGTGGCACAGCAGGCCAAATAGTTATAGCCGACTTTGATGACACATCTGAAAAGGTCTCTTTAAAGTACAGTTCCATGAATTTAGTCAGTGACCGTGACGGGTTTGTCTGGAAGGGACACGACCAGCTTAATGTGAAAACGAACCTTTTGGACGGTCAGGAGATTCCTGTAACCGAAAATGGCGTAAACATTTTAGGAGTGCTGCAAGTTTTGCCTCCAGCTAGCATTACTTGCATGGCACTTGAAGCGAACTGGGGACTTGTGTCTGGTGGAACTGCGCACGGTTTAGTGCTCTTTGATTTCAAAAATTTCGTTCCGGTATTTCACCGCTGCACATTAAATCCAAATGATTTGACTGGAGCAGGTGAGACTTTGTCTCGTCGCAAGTCATTTAAGAAATCTTTGCGAGAGTCATTTAGAAAGCTTCGTAAGGGTCGATCGACAAGGAACAACCCCAACAATCAGGTGCCAACAACTGTGAGTGTCATCATAGCTAATAATTAATTCCATTAACTAAAACAAAACAATTTGCAGTTGGAAGCACGACCCGTTGAAAGGCAAATAGAGGCACGTTGTGCTGAAGACGGGTTAGGGTCGATGGTGCGATGTTTACTATTTGCTAAAACTTATGTAACTAATGGTGAGTGTATTTTAAATATCGATATCTGCATTCAAAATCTCCTCTGTGAAGTATTCTGTATATTTTAATTATAAACGTATTTTACCACAAAAAGGATAAACCTCTTGTACAAATAAAAATGTCACTACAAAAATTGATCCCTATACATGTAAAGAAGTTAAACATGGGCTCAAATATATATAAAATATAGTTTTAAAAAAGAAAATGCATTTTATTATGTGTTTGTAATAGCTTTGGAAAATAAGAATATTTTAATTAAAAAACAAAAGTGTAAAATTAATGTTATAGACGCCACTGACCTTAGCAGTGTATTACCGTGGCTCACTATTGCAATTAGCTTTCGCTACAAAGTTTTACCTATAATCATGCTAAATCCCAACTTTTTGGCAAAGTGGTATAGAAACTAATTTTTGTATAATTTGCTGTATTTGCAGTTAACATAACATCGCCAACCCTGTGGTCAGCAACAAATGCTAGTACCGTCTCAGTATTTCTTTTGCATTTGCCCCCAGCGCAAACTGCTGCAACTGCAGTACCATCGGCAAGTGGAAATGTTCCACCACAGACGCCGCGTCGGATATCCGCGCAGCTTGCAAAAGAAATTCAATTAAAACATCGCGCCCCTGTGGTGGGTATTTCCATTTTTGACCAGACGGGTAGCCCAGTCGATCAACTGAGCGCCGGAGAAAACGGTAGTCCACCGCACCGTCTTCTTATCGCTTCCGAAGAGCAGTTCAAAGTGTTTTCACTTCCGCAATTAAAACCGATAAACAAATATAAGCTTACCGCTAACGAGGGCGCTCGGATTCGTCGCATCCATTTTGGTTCATTTAGTTGCCGCGTATCGCCGGAGTTACTACAAAATATGCATGGTAGTAGTCCAACCAAATCTACACGCTCCCAAATCGATGGAGAGGGATCTGCAAATAGCAGTGCAAACTTGGGTGCAGGTCGTGGATATGTTTATCACGAAACTGCACTGATCTGTTTAACCAATATGGGCGATATCATGGTTTTATCAGTCCCTGAATTAAAAAGACAGCTGAATGCCGCTGCAGTGCGACGGGAGGACATAAAGTAAGACTCTAGTACTGCTTAAGCTATTTTAAACATTACACTAATAATGTTTTCTATTTTGCAGTGGAATTTCGTCACTTTGTTTTACCAACTCTGGTGAAGCACTATACATGATGTCTTCTTCTGAATTGCAGCGCATTGCTCTATCCACGTCCACAGTTGTCCAACCCACGGGCAGTGTTGAAGTAGAACCCTTGGAAATGGAACGCTCTACTCTAGAAGAAAATGAAGAAGAAAGCGATAAGGAAACATTTGTTAATTCTGAAGTAGTCAATGACGTTAAGGACGCACCCATTGCTTCTATTCGCGCTAAGCCTGTAGAGGGGAGCGTTGATAGAAGTAGTCTTATCAATGGAATTTGCAATACTAATTCATCAAACCAGGCGAACGAGACAATTACCAGCTCCGTTGGTGATATTACTGTTGACTCAGTGCGAGACCATTTAAATCTTACAACAACAACGTTGTGTTCTACGACTACAGAGGAAACTGTCGGTAAGTAAATCATTGGATTTCATTAATCACGTTTACCCGTCACGTTTGATTGTCTTGTATAAACATGTCCATTATTCTTTCCGTGTCCAATGTTGGCTATAAAAATAGTTTTATTTCAATCCAATTTCTTAATTTTTGATTTTAGATGTGCGCACCAAACGACTATAACGGCAGATCTATTTTTACTTATTTATAAACTCGGTCCATCTTTTCTTTAGAGTTTTACTTGACTATTGAAACACAATAAATATATAACTAATTATATTGACATCTCTACATAAATATAGGTCGCCTTTCTGTGCTTAGCACGCAAACAAACACAGCCACTACTACCGTGAACATGAACGATATTCCGGATATTAACATTTCCAATTTAGGGGATTTGACATCGAAAAGGTTAGTTTTTTAAACAAACATTAAAAGAAAACTAAAATTAATACTTAAAAAAAAATATTTTACAGTAATACAACGGAAACCAGCACGAGTTCTGTGGTAATAAAATCTGTTATTACGAGCATATCCCACGACAAGACAAACGGAGAAAACAAAGTTAATACTACGAAAAACGCGCCTGAAGAAAGTCAATTTTAATAACTAAAAATATATCGGACATCAGCAAACAATAGCGTAAATGACAAAATATACAAAATATGATTATTTTTTAGAAACTTGTTTACACATTTACAAATTATGTAATTTAAAACACTATCGGGTATGTTGTCCCGGAACCAGACATTTTATTGTATCCGTATTGCTATTATTCTAACAGCGACTGTTAATAATACTTTTAGTTATGTTTTCCGTTATTTTGCGTGGCTTCACGAGACTATTGTAACAACATTTAACCCGTACTCCACTATTGCATTTAAAGATAAACTTTCAACATGCCTATTTATAATGGCATTTGCCATCACGTGTCCTATTTATAATGGCATTTGCATTCACAAACATTTAGTTATTTGTAATATTTTTGTTTACTTCTAAAAGCGTTTCTTTCCACATTACCACTTTAAAATTAAGATAAAAAGTATATCTTCCGTGTTTTTATACCCTTTTAAAATATAAACAATTATAGTTAAGTGAAAAAAGCAAAGTTGACCATATTAAGAATGCATACACCAGATCCAAATTGTTTCTTTCTTTTAAAATAACTACTCGCCTTATATATGTAAACACTTCACATAGCATTTTGTTGAATAGCGTGCAATCTGTTTATTTAACAAATTGTGTTTGTATATATGTATCTGTCTTAGGTAAAAGTCCTATCAGTTCGCACGACTATTTTCTTCAGCGACCATAAAAAAATCGGTTAAAATTTGTCACTTTTTAATTTCTTAAGTTGCAAGGGTATTCCATGTTCGGATTTCCGAATTTTACTTCCGTATGGTTTTATTTATTATTTTTGTAAATATTAGAATCCGATTTTATTGTTTATTTTAAACATTTGGATTAAAGTTATCAACAGGAAACTGTACAACAAAAACGATTACGTCTTATCAACATTCACTAAATTAATAGCGGATCTTATTAAGTATTAAAAACAACAAATACATTTATAGATTAAAAGTGTTTAATATTTTTATAATCAAATAAAATGTACAATTTTTTAAAATGCTGAAATTTATAAAAGGTAAACAAAAAATGTGCGCGTTTTTGCATTATTAGGCTGCTATGATAAAGTTATACAAAATTGGAGTAATAACAGCGCTATAAAATAAACAATACCTAAATGAGATATATGTACTCCAAAAGCTGTAACTAGCGCTGCCATCGTCGCATCCATCATGGGGAAAACAACCAAGGCCCGGCCATTATTCCTTGTTGTTTTGGTTTATATGTATACATATGTACCAACAAACATATTTATGTACTACTCATTCAAGCGCCAAAGCTCTGTGCGTCGCCTGCTGCTGCGAAGATTGTGGTTCTTGGCGACATCATACCAAGAAAACGTTTCCGCCCCATACTTAGCGTACATACATATATTTTACTGTATTACGCACCTACTTCCTGCACTATCATTCGTAAGTCGTTCGGACAGCTCGCTGCGTGTGTGTTATATTGCCTTCGTCTTTTGAAAATTGGGCATTAACATTTCTGTTTGGGTACGTACATCATGTGAGAAAGAAAGAAATGGTAAAGCCATGAGAACACGCACGACGCAGCGCTCGCGCTCAGTCACACATACAAATGTGACGCCACTCAATCGTTCGGATAGCTCAGTGCGGCCTGAGTCGCTGCGTGTGTGTTATATTGCTTTCGCCTTTTAAAAATGGAGTACCGGCAATTCTGTTTGGCTACGTACATCTGTAGAAGGAAAGGGATGGTAGAGCCATAAGGACACGCACGACACAGCGCTCGCTCTCAGTCACATGTACATAATGTGACGCCACTCACTCCTACACCAACTCCGTTGTTCTTACTGTTTCATGTTTTTCTTCTTGTTTATTTTGATTTCCGTAAACGAGAAACTTTAAAGCAATCAACAAAAAAGTTTTTGCCGCCGTCCCACTCGAACCGTTGCCTGGCTAATATATTATGTATTATGTATGCCGTCCTAAAGTGCCATTGGTCTTTTTTAAGCGTCGCTGATTGCGTCGCAACTGCGAGAAAATTAGCACTTCAGGAATCGATCGTCATTCTTCGAGCTTTTGTTGTTTGGTTCTAATTGGAATAAGATGGTCTGATAATAGTGCCCTACTCATGTGCATTTGTTGCTTGTATTTTATATAAAAAAATTATTTTCCACACTTCCGCACCTTTTCGAAAAAGCATTATGTTATTGTCGGAAAATCGGTATATATGTGCATACGTTTTCAAAACATAAACTACATAATTGAGCTTTAGTAAAAGAAAAAGTTTAGGCAATAGACTCCTTTTGTGTCTTTTTTGAGTACTCTACTCCAGCGGTTCTTGTTTTAATATAGCCTTTTTTAAGTAATTTTCAATACTCCTAACCTTAGTAATAAGAAATCGGCCATTTAAATGAAAGAATTATTAATTTTAAATAGTAATTCAATCCGTTCTTCAAAAACAAAACCTAAACAATACATCGTAATATAAAATGAGCTATCAATACGTATAATTTTTAGTTGAATAAAAAATTAAATATCTTGCCCATTTGCGTATTCTTTTAAGGCGTATACTAATCTTTTTTACTTACAAAAACAAAAATTAAAATATATGTTACGCCGTTAATCCGTGTTAGTTAATCCGTGTTAGCTAATATTTTAATACATCATTTTTTAAATATGGGTTAATTAATTGGTTACTGTTGATTCTAAAACCGCGGAGTAATTTACAAATCTTAACAAAATAATTTAACTCAAATATTTTTATACGAGATTAACATGTGTACGTATCTAAAGGCGGTGTTATCTGCACTTCATCAGGTGTCTGAACGCTTAATTATAGTATTTTAAAAAATAGTTCGTTTCAATACTAAATATCTTTAAATTTGAAATGTTTGTTTTTGTCGCATTCGCTTTAAGAAACACGTAGCCCGCCTTGTACATATGTATGTGTCGCATCGTGATTCCTCCTAGTATTCATAGCCGAGTTCATTGTCAGTGGCAATCTGAATTCTGTAAATTACTCGCTTTTGTTTTGGTAGAGATATTGAGCGAAAAGCACGGTAGCAGAGGCAAAGAAGCTCAGTTGTTGAGTGAGGTTTGATCGTATATTAAGAGTCTTGAGTAAGAAAGAGATGACAATGTTATGAGGACTTGAGTGAGAAGCACCACAGCAGAGGCAGCGAAGCTCAGCTGTTGAGTGAGGTTCGGATCGTATATCAAGAGTCTTTAGTAAGACAGAGAAGACAATGTTCTGAGGACTTGAGTAAGTATATTCTTGTGAGTGAGAAATCACAGATCCAAGAAAAAAAGGGCTCAATCGCCAACATATGTATGTATGTGCCTTTGTTCGATGCAAAGCTTCGCTGTTTGCGTCGCTGCGTTTATTGTTGCTTGTGTGTATTGTTACGTACGTGTATATATAAACAACTGCCGTTACTTTTTTCGAAGCTGTATGCGTTGCTGCGAGCGTCGATGCCTGCGTCGCTTTGTGTGTTGCTATGTATGCCGCTATGTATGGGTTAAGTGCGTCGCTGCTTGCGTCTTTTTGTGAACCGTTGCATAGATCGCCTTGTTCGTCGTTTCTTGCCTGTGTTGTTACTTACGTGTTTGTATATGTTCTCATAATATACTGTTTTTTTTTTTTTGGAAGCGTGAGTGCCTGCGTCGGTGCTTGCGTTGCTTCGTACATCGCTGCAAGCGTCGCTGCCCGCGTCCCAATAGCGTAGCCATATGCAATCAACGCTCTGTCCGCCATTCTTCTATCGTAAGTCATTCGACGCGCTTGTTCGTTTGCTGTAATTAGTCACAAAAAAAATATAAATTCCCGGTAATTATAGCTTGAGAGATTCCGTTGTGTGTACATATGAAAGGTCTCCCCGCGTCGGACCGAAGTACAAAATGCGGTTGTCTCATTGGCTCTCTTGGCCTAGATATATATACAGAATTATATACGGTTTTTTCGGTCGGTCATTTAAGCAAAAAGCGTCGTCGCTGCCTAATCCGTTTTTCTTTTTCAATCGTTGTTTGTTCGACCAAAACCAAACAGTCGCTATTTTCATTGTAGCCGGCATAGAAAAAATAGGCAACGGTTAACTGTCCGCCATTGTTCAACCATTGTCGTTCGGTAAATTTTTTTTTTTTATTCTCTTGTGATAAAAATTAAATGGCGCATTAAAACTATTTTTATAATGGATATAATTAGGTCGTGTTTTAAAAATGTATTGCGTTAAATCGCTTATTAATTGTGATAAATGAATATTAGTTTGCGCCAATTAATTAAACATCTTAAATAGTCCTAAATAATAATATAAATAAAAAGTAAACAGTTATCTAGCAAAGAATTTCTATATTTGCAAAAAAAATCGGTTTTTTCGGCCGCAATTGCGCTATGCATTGTGGTCTGTTGGACACCTGTTTATTTTTAGCCGGTGCCGTATATAAACCGCTGTCCTACTTTTTATATTCTTTTCATTAAAGAATTCCGTCGTTGTAAACAAATTAACGAATGTGATAAAATTGCGTGCCATATAAACTTTTTATATGTTTTTAAAGTATCAATATTTTATAGATTACAATTTTTCTTGGTTTATAGTGTCTCAAAAAATCGCAGTTTAACTGAAGGAAAGGCAACGGATTATTTGAATGGCTCAAATTATAATATTTGTGGAGAAGAAGTAATTCAGCTTAGTCCTACTAATAAAAGTGGTTCAGCTTGATTGATACGGAGCGGAATAGAATCTAGTGCCACCAACATATTGTTGTATGTATTTATTTATATTTTAAAATTTAAAATCTCACTTCTGTCATTCTTTTTCAGTGTATAAGATATGGTGGTTTAATGGCGTTTAGCGGAAAGTGGAACAAAAATAAACTTTAACGGCTTAAATCTGAGAAGCCAAGAGTATGCAATTCATATTGACGGATATTTATAAATGGATACAAGACATTTGATTTGCTGACTGCAGAAGACAAAAGAACTACTAAAATTAATAAGCAGTATGTATACTTTGCATATCGGAGTTTCGTAGCTCATTTCCTTTCTTTACTTTCAGTGTTTTAGCAAATCACGGTTTAATAGCGGTTAATGGAAAGGGAAAGTAAGGATAACGTCAATTGTCTTATATTGAATACCGTGGAAAACGCTGCGATTAAACAGACGGTTACATATTTTCTTAAAAAGAGGTACGTACACACATTTTCATAAAACTTTCACAAAGTGAGTGGTATTGTTAAACAGTTTGTTATTCTAATGAAACCAAAAGCCAGCATGAGATTAGACCGATTTTTTGTTGCAAATGTTTTTGAAAGCATTTGTTTAGACTTAATTAATATATTCAAAAGTATTTAAACAGAGATAGGCATCAATACTTTTAAAGTTTCATTAGGCTTTTCTTTTCTTACATGCGCTCAACTAGCAATGCTTAGCTGCCGTCATAAAAGCAAAAACTTACGTGACTTGCCACTCATCGGTTTTTCTTTGTAAAGGGGTGTGGTTTTCGTTCCGCCTATTTTATATATCTCTGTACTGCTCTTTTGGGTTTCAAAGTAATATCCCCCGCTGCTGCTAGCCCTAACCCTGCCGCCATTAGACAATTTTCTGTTTGGAACATTTCTGGTGGTTGGTTGTTTTTCTTATACATAGTTATGTATGGCATGTTTATTGTACGGAAATTTGATATTTGTTTACTTTTCACACATTGTCTTCTGCTACAAGCACCTTAGTGGCAACGCTCAACTTTTACCGTAAAAAAAATACTTGCGGGACATTTGTTTACATTGCTTATTTTAAGCTTTTTTTATCGTTCGTCTTTTGTTTATATAGCTGTACTGCTCTACCACCCGTAAAAAGTATACAGGTTGTTGCCACATCGCAAAAACAAACACCACGGCCGGGAATGTTCTTTGTTGACTATATTTACACGCTACTCTTGTAGAAAAAGAGTACATGAATTACATATGAATTACATTTGAAATCTATGTAGTTATACTGATTTAGTGGGTTATTGAGTGATGAATTATACATAAACTACTGATTGTTTATATTTTATTTGCACATTAACAAGAAACAATATTACCAGGAAAAGAAGAAAAGCTGTTCCGGGTATTTTTTGCGACGCCAATACTGACCAACAGATGTTCGAAAAAAACGCAAGTGTGTTTATATTATTTGAACATAAAAAAGAATCAGTGTTACCAGGAAAAAAAGCCGAATGGTATTTGGGTAAAGTTTGACTCGCCGAAACTGACCAACAGATGTGCAAAAAAAAGCGCGAGTCTGGACAGTTTTATTTGTGACGCCAAAGCTCAGTCCGCGGCAACGCAAATTCTTTAGGCGCCAAAGAGAAATACAGATACAGAATGTATAAGAAATAATATTAACAGGAAAAAAAAGACGAATGGCACTATGGTAAATGTTGCGATGCCGCCACTGACCAACAGATGTTGAAAGAAAAACAGCAAGTCTGGAATGTTTTTTTTGTGACGCCAGTGCAAAGCCAGCAGCGACGCAAATTCTTATGGCGCCAATAGAGCAGAACGTGTACAGAACTTATACAAGACTTTCTGTTGAATTATACGAGTGTCTTACTTGATGGAAAGAGAAATTATAGGGTAATTATAAATTAATTAAAGGTGAATTAGAAACAATTTATACATAAAGTAGAGAGGAAAGCGGAGTTCATTAAATGTGATTTATAAATAATTATTTTTGTTTGTAGATTAAATTATTTACCGTAAAGGGGAAGAGTTTGCAGATTTATTAATGGTTTCTTGCTGATTATACATAGACTAATTATGCAATGGAGGTGTGCATACATACATACACATAACTTATACGTAACTTGCTGGTAAATTATAAGTGTGTTTCACTGGAACTAAAGAGCAATTAATGGTCAATTATAAATAATTTAGAGGTTAATTAGATACAATTTATACATTAAGTATAGAAAAAAGAGGAAGTAATTACATGTGGTTTATAAATATTTAAATTATTTTTCCAGTTGAAATATTTTACTGTTAAGGAAAGAGCCTTGCGGATTACAATTGGTTGCTGGTAGTTATACGTAAAATTGTTATTTATTTTACCCTAACCTATGCACATTTTTTATTAATTGTAGGTGAACTATGCATTGTGCTGTGGAAAGGAAGAGCTTTGCCGTACGCTAACCGCATTTAGATTGTTATCCAAAGGAAGGTTCCACATCGATTGACATTCTATATGCATAACATATATGGCTTATACAGGGTAAGTACTTGATGAATACATGCTATCTAAATAATGTGTAGGAAAAATATGCGTTATATCTATGTTGTTAATTAGTAACGTACATTTTACTGCATTGTTGTGCCCTTTTGGCATTACTTGTACATCACTTAGAATTCATTTAACAACATTTAATGGCCGACCCTTTTAATGGTGTTGTGCCGTTTATTAACATTTGTAGTAGAAGGCGTTCATAAATAAGTATGCCATGGTATTGATTGGCTTTGCATACTATTAGGCTCTATTAATATATTGTGCTTTGTAAATATGATCCCATCCAAAAAGTATGCTGTGTTTTATAGCAACGCAGGCTTTGTAGTAAATGCTATTATCCGAAAAGCAGGCCGTGTTTTTTTTAGCAATGGCTGCTTTGTTATAGAGGGCGCCGTAATTAAGTTAGCATATATATAGGAGGCGTTTTTAACATTGTACTGTAAGGTAGGTGGCGCTTCATTAAAAAGGTGTATTATAGCATCTTTTGCATTGAAAAAGAGGGCGCTTATAAAGAGAAGGTGTTTACAGCATATTGCCCATTATTAGACAATCCATGCAAAGAGAGAATATTTTAATTAAAGTGACTCTTATTGCAGATGTTATTGGAAACAAAAGGCGTTACTTAATACACGGAGCTACATCAGCAGGCGTATGGAAACCAATGGCTGCTTATAAAAGAAGGCGCTGCCCAGCACACAACGCTTCTAAAGAAAGAGGAATTCACATTAATGGCGTCGTAGCAGTGCTGTTAAAAAGAAGACACCCAAGAAGAGAGGCGTTTTATCATATCATGTGGAGGTTCACAATGCAAATATTCTACATATTGGAAAGAAATTTATAATAATGCTAGGGTATACCGCTTAAGTGAAAAACCAATTATGTTTACTGATGAATGTATGACAATATTACACATGTTATAATAAGTTGCTAGCATTGTAAGCTGTTGTATGCAATGTATAATTGTTGTTCAAAGATGTTATTAGTTTAAGCATATGTTAAGCCACATTTATTGTAACACAATGAGCTTGTACACATAGTTAAGCTAGACATAAGCAATGTTCAGCCAATCGCCAGACAATGTTAAGACAATCGATTAGGCACATTTTAGGCAACTGTTAGGTAATGTTTAGCTTATTTAGGATGATTTCACATTGCTATTAGGATCATTTCTGCATTGTTTTTAGACTGTTTTTACATTGTTTTAGGGACGTTTCTACATTGCTTCCGCATTGTTTCTAGGGACATTCCACATTGTTTTGAAACTGTTTTTATACACTTTTAGGTCCATTTGTATATTAATGCCGCGTTAATTAGGCAACATTAGACTATTGTTAGGCAAGGTATAGGCGATCCTTAGGCATTGTTTTAGGATGATTTCACATTGCTATTAGGATCATTTCTGCATTGTTTTTAGACTGTTTTTACATTGTTTTAGGGACGTTTCTACATTGCTTCCGCATTGTTTCTAGGGACATTCCACATTGTTTTGAAACTGTTTTTATACACTTTTAGGTCCATTTGTATATTAATGCCGCGTTAATTAGGCAACATTAGACTATTGTTAGGCAAGGTATAGGCGATCCTTAGGCATTGTTTTAGGATGATTTCACATTGCTATTAGGATCATTTCTGCATTGTTTTTAGACTGTTTTTACATTGTTTTAGGGACGTTTCTACATTGCTTCCGCATTGTTTCTAGGGACATTCCACATTGTTTTGAAACTGTTTTTATACACTTTTAGGTCCATTTGTATATTAATGCCGCGTTAATTAGGCAACATTAGACTATTGTTAGGCAAGGTATAGGCGATCCTTAGGCATTGTTTTAGGATGATTTCACATTGCTATTAGGATCATTTCTGCATTGTTTTTAGACTGTTTTTACATTGTTTTAGGGACGTTTCTACATTGCTTCCGCATTGTTTCTAGGGACATTCCACATTGTTTTGAAACTGTTTTTATACACTTTTAGGTCCATTTGTATATTAATGCCGCGTTAATTAGGCAACATTAGACTATTGTTAGGCAAGGTATAGGCGATCCTTAGGCATTGTTTTAGGATGATTTCACATTGCTATTAGGATCATTTCTGCATTGTTTTTAGACTGTTTTTACATTGTTTTAGGGACGTTTCTACATTGCTTCCGCATTGTTTCTAGGGACATTCCACATTGTTTTGAAACTGTTTTTATACACTTTTAGGTCCATTTGTATATTAATGCCGCGTTAATTAGGCAACATTAGACTATTGTTAGGCAAGGTATAGGCGATCCTTAGGCATTGTTTTAGGATGATTTCACATTGCTATTAGGATCATTTCTGCATTGTTTTTAGACTGTTTTTACATTGTTTTAGGGACGTTTCTACATTGCTTCCGCATTGTTTCTAGGGACATTCCACATTGTTTTGAAACTGTTTTTATACACTTTTAGGTCCATTTGTATATTAATGCCGCGTTAATTAGGCAACATTAGACTATTGTTAGGCAAGGTATAGGCGATCCTTAGGCATTGTTTTAGGATGATTTCACATTGCTATTAGGATCATTTCTGCATTGTTTTTAGACTGTTTTTACATTGTTTTAGGGACGTTTCTACATTGCTTCCGCATTGTTTCTAGGGACATTCCACATTGTTTTGAAACTGTTTTTATACACTTTTAGGTCCATTTGTATATTAATGCCGCGTTAATTAGGCAACATTAGACTATTGTTAGGCAAGGTATAGGCGATCCTTAGGCATTGTTTTAGGATGATTTCACATTGCTATTAGGATCATTTCTGCATTGTTTTTAGACTGTTTTTACATTGTTTTAGGGACGTTTCTACATTGCTTCCGCATTGTTTCTAGGGACATTCCACATTGTTTTGAAACTGTTTTTATACACTTTTAGGTCCATTTGTATATTAATGCCGCGTTAATTAGGCAACATTAGACTATTGTTAGGCAAGGTATATGCGATCCTTAGGCATTGTTTTAGGATGATTTCACATTGCTATTAGGATCATTTCTGCATTGTTTTTAGACTGTTTTTACATTGTTTTAGGGACGTTTCTACATTGCTTCCGCATTGTTTCTAGGGACATTCCACATTGTTTTGAAACTGTTTTTATACACTTTTAGGTCCATTTGTATATTAATGCCGCGTTAATTAGGCAACATTAGACTATTGTTAGGCAAGGTATAGGCGATCCTTAGGCATTGTTTTAGGATGATTTCACATTGCTATTAGGATCATTTCTGCATTGTTTTTAGACTGTTTTTACATTGTTTTAGGGACGTTTCTACATTGCTTCCGCATTGTTTCTAGGGACATTCCACATTGTTTTGAAACTGTTTTTATACACTTTTAGGTCCATTTGTATATTAATGCCGCGTTAATTAGGCAACATTAGACTATTGTTAGGCAAGGTATAGGCGATCCTTAGGCATTGTTTTAGGATGATTTCACATTGCTATTAGGATCATTTCTGCATTGTTTTTAGACTGTTTTTACATTGTTTTAGGGACGTTTCTACATTGCTTCCGCATTGTTTCTAGGGACATTCCACATTGTTTTGAAACTGTTTTTATACACTTTTAGGTCCATTTGTATATTAATGCCGCGTTAATTAGGCAACATTAGACTATTGTTAGGCAAGGTATAGGCGATCCTTAGGCATTGTTTTAGGATGATTTCACATTGCTATTAGGATCATTTCTGCATTGTTTTTAGACTGTTTTTACATTGTTTTAGGGACGTTTCTACATTGCTTCCGCATTGTTTCTAGGGACATTCCACATTGTTTTGAAACTGTTTTTATACACTTTTAGGTCCATTTGTATATTAATGCCGCGTTAATTAGGCAACATTAGACTATTGTTAGGCAAGGTATAGGCGATCCTTAGGCATTGTTTTAGGATGATTTCACATTGCTATTAGGATCATTTCTGCATTGTTTTTAGACTGTTTTTACATTGTTTTAGGGACGTTTCTACATTGCTTCCGCATTGTTTCTAGGGACATTCCACATTGTTTTGAAACTGTTTTTATACACTTTTAGGTCCATTTGTATATTAATGCCGCGTTAATTAGGCAACATTAGACTATTGTTAGGCAAGGTATAGGCGATCCTTAGGCATTGTTTTAGGATGATTTCACATTGCTATTAGGATCATTTCTGCATTGTTTTTAGACTGTTTTTACATTGTTTTAGGGACGTTTCTACATTGCTTCCGCATTGTTTCTAGGGACATTCCACATTGTTTTGAAACTGTTTTTATACACTTTTAGGTCCATTTGTATATTAATGCCGCGTTAATTAGGCAACATTAGACTATTGTTAGGCAAGGTATAGGCGATCCTTAGGCATTGTTTTAGGATGATTTCACATTGCTATTAGGATCATTTCTGCATTGTTTTTAGACTGTTTTTACATTGTTTTAGGGACGTTTCTACATTGCTTCCGCATTGTTTCTAGGGACATTCCACATTGTTTTGAAACTGTTTTTATACACTTTTAGGTCCATTTGTATATTAATGCCGCGTTAATTAGGCAACATTAGACTATTGTTAGGCAAGGTATAGGCGATCCTTAGGCATTGTTTTAGGATGATTTCACATTGCTATTAGGATCATTTCTGCATTGTTTTTAGACTGTTTTTACATTGTTTTAGGGACGTTTCTACATTGCTTCCGCATTGTTTCTAGGGACATTCCACATTGTTTTGAAACTGTTTTTATACACTTTTAGGTCCATTTGTATATTAATGCCGCGTTAATTAGGCAACATTAGACTATTGTTAGGCAAGGTATAGGCGATCCTTAGGCATTGTTTTAGGATGATTTCACATTGCTATTAGGATCATTTCTGCATTGTTTTTAGACTGTTTTTACATTGTTTTAGGGACGTTTCTACATTGCTTCCGCATTGTTTCTAGGGACATTCCACATTGTTTTGAAACTGTTTTTATACACTTTTAGGTCCATTTGTATATTAATGCCGCGTTAATTAGGCAACATTAGACTATTGTTAGGCAAGGTATAGGCGATCCTTAGGCATTGTTTTAGGATGATTTCACATTGCTATTAGGATCATTTCTGCATTGTTTTTAGACTGTTTTTACATTGTTTTAGGGACGTTTCTACATTGCTTCCGCATTGTTTCTAGGGACATTCCACATTGTTTTGAAACTGTTTTTATACACTTTTAGGTCCATTTGTATATTAATGCCGCGTTAATTAGGCAACATTAGACTATTGTTAGGCAAGGTATAGGCGATCCTTAGGCATTGTTTTAGGATGATTTCACATTGCTATTAGGATCATTTCTGCATTGTTTTTAGACTGTTTTTACATTGTTTTAGGGACGTTTCTACATTGCTTCCGCATTGTTTCTAGGGACATTCCACATTGTTTTGAAACTGTTTTTATACACTTTTAGGTCCATTTGTATATTAATGCCGCGTTAATTAGGCAACATTAGACTATTGTTAGGCAAGGTATAGGCGATCCTTAGGCATTGTTTTAGGATGATTTCACATTGCTATTAGGATCATTTCTGCATTGTTTTTAGACTGTTTTTACATTGTTTTAGGGACGTTTCTACATTGCTTCCGCATTGTTTCTAGGGACATTCCACATTGTTTTGAAACTGTTTTTATACACTTTTAGGTCCATTTGTATATTAATGCCGCGTTAATTAGGCAACATTAGACTATTGTTAGGCAAGGTATAGGCGATCCTTAGGCATTGTTTTAGGATGATTTCACATTGCTATTAGGATCATTTCTGCATTGTTTTTAGACTGTTTTTACATTGTTTTAGGGACGTTTCTACATTGCTTCCGCATTGTTTCTAGGGACATTCCACATTGTTTTGAAACTGTTTTTATACACTTTTAGGTCCATTTGTATATTAATGCCGCGTTAATTAGGCAACATTAGACTATTGTTAGGCAAGGTATAGGCGATCCTTAGGCATTGTTTTAGGATGATTTCACATTGCTATTAGGATCATTTCTGCATTGTTT